CTAACGAAAGATACAAAACAAAGATAGCAAACAAGAAATCATCAATATTTGCCAGAATTTCTAAAGGAAACAAAATACGGATTTATTATTCCCACAAAGGAAATGAAGATTGACTTATCGTTACGTGTACATAATTACACAGTGCAAAATCAGATTTAAAATGTCGGTTCAATTGTCACTTAAAAAAATACAGTAGTTTCAAATTTCGGATGGAATATTGCTGTCATATATGGTCTTGTGCTCCCGCTGCACATATCGAGGTCCTTGACGAATATGCAAGATGATAGGTCTCGATCTGGCATCTAATCTACAATCGCTATTCCATGTGGTGTTGCCTCCCTCTGTCTTTTCTACAAATATTTTCACGGCAATTTTTTCCGACGAGCAACTTTCACTGGTTGCCGGACTACATGAATTTAAACATGCGACCAGGCTGGCATCTCGGTCCCACCCTTTCACTGCCAAAACAGTTAAGTTTAACCGTCGCTTCTTTTCAAACAGCTTCTCCTCCCTCTCTTTCCCGTCTGTAGAATTCGCTTCTCCTGACTTGCTTCCCCGATGATTAAAATCTTCAAATATTCAAGTGTAATGTCAATCGACATCTAACACTCTGAGCTTGTTCCCCCGTCCTTCTCTGAATCCTTTCCTCAAACACGCCTCTTTACTCTTGTTCTCAATCCTCCGTAACCCCTTGCGTGCTAGTGGCACTCCCGCCTTGCTTGGGGTGAATTGCCTTCAAAAAATCTGCAATGCGTGGTGGGGATAGTATGTAACACTTTTTTTTTTTTGCAGAAATACTAATTCTCTTATATATATATATATATATATATATATATATATATATATATATATATATATCATGAGATCCACCAGTTTTTTATGTCCTGGTTATGACGATAAATTACATCCGGCAGCCGGGCCTATAATCAGATGGTAAAAAAAAATTGAGGAGCGTGAAATTATTCTTAATTACTCTTCTTCCCAGTTTCCCCCTACCCTGGGTTGGCAGCACCTGTTGCCGTCCCAGCTATGGTGAAGCCCAAACAAAAACAGCATGAAAGTACTATATATTAATTTTTATAGTAAAAATACGGACAATATATTTTTATATAAAATATTACCAACAATATGCACATACTTATAAACTGTAGCGACTTCACCCAAATCCACTTAAAATACTACCAAACAACCAATATAAAAGAACTTTCATGACATGAGTCCATATAATATACCACAATTTCTTAAATCAAACTGTATTCCAAAATATAACTTCAACAAAACTATTGGGTTGGTGCATAATTATCAGGCGATTTTTAAACAATATTTATTATGAAAAAAGAAACATAACAATTCAACAATAACATTTTTTAAAAGATTATTCCGGAGCATATGATTCTCGACACGCATTTTTGATAACCTGAAAATAAAATAATATTTTTATTAAAAAAAAGTAAACGAAACAACAATTTTTATTAACAAATAAACGCTTATAAAAACGCCTGATAATTATGCACCAACTTAGCATGTCAGGCATCACCGGCTATAGTACTCATGTACACACAACATGTATATGTACAAAAGCTGTGTATCATCTATCATGTATTCAATGGTGAAAGCGGAATAAAATATATTTTTATAACTTCCAAGAACACAGGAAAATTCCATTTCAGAACCATAAGGAGTTGATATACTGTTAAACAAACAAATCAAATCCCCCAGCTCTAACATTACTGAGCAAGGCCCAACCTTGTCAGGCAACCATACTCATGGCCTTCGTATTCTAGTTGGTGAGATGTAAATTCCACACGAGCAGCTTCTTCCCACGAACATTGGCTTTGTGGAACCGCCACGCAAATGGATGCTATCCTTATCCTTATAATCTTAACATATTCAAGTATAGGCTTAAATATTATGTTTCTCAAATATCCGCATAAACTATGCCTTTTACTCTGTATCCCACTACCGCAAGTGTCTCTTGGGTCTTGTACAGGGTGAACATCATTGTTATATATATATATATATATATATATATATATATATATATATATATATATATACCGGGTGTAACAGCAAAATTGTTCAAAACGTGTAACAATTATCCAATGGTCAGATTAAGTTTTGCACGTTGTATCTTAGAAACGATTATCTTACTGTATCTCTCAGGGTTTTTTTTTATAACACTATTGGACCCTACTTTGAGCAATAGGAATGTATTTCTCTCCATGTTGAAATAGGAATGTATTTCGCTCCATGTTGAAATAGGAATGTATTTCGCTCCATGTTGAAATGATCACATTTTTTCGAAAACATGAGATCAGGGCTCACTACAAATACGGAAAATGAACAAGGAAATATTAAAAGAACATAAGGAAATTTTATTCCTTTAAAAATGAATTCCTTTTATTTGTTTGAAGAAAGTCCCGAGAACGGAAACCCGTGTTGCAAAAATATGAAAAATAAATACAATATATACACTAACAAATCTAGATTATAACCCAAAACTTTTGCGTTTTTTTTTTTTTAAAAAAAAATAAATCTAGCTATCTATATATATATATATATATATATATATATATATATATATATATATATATATATATATATACACACACACATATATATATATATATATATATATATATATATATATATATATATATATATATATGTATAGATTTATCTATTCATCTATCTATTCATCTATCTATCTATATATATATATATATATATATAGGAAAATATGATAAACTGGAAAGTTTTTGTAACGCGTTTCATCAGTTAGGATTTCATCAGTCTGGCCTTTGATGACGTTGCCACGTCTACACATGCGCACGAAACGAGAGACTCTGGTAGTTTCAAAATATTTTGAAAAATATTTTTGAAAGAAAATTTATTTTTTAATCTAGCCGAAATCATCTGTATTTTTTTCTTTTTGTTTATTTCTCCACCATCTTTGTTCCTGATTATCCAACACTGTGACAATATAAAATCTACCGAGAATGGTGGCAACGTCATATATATATATATATTAATTTCTTTTGTTATACGTTATTTTTGATGGATAATAATTTTCGCGTAGAAGCTCTGTCTTCTTTTTTTTTTTAAATTAAACAGTATTTTTTATCCGGCTACATCAACGAGCATCATTATTTCAGAAATCTTATCAGAAAAATATGCGTCCTCAATGGGGAACTGTCATTTGATCTAACGTGCCTAATCGCTCGGTCAAGTTGGACTTACGGTCAAACAAAACCCAAATAGTGCTTTTGAACACACACTCTCTACCGCTTCTCGAAATATCCATATCACCTCTGTTTCGTATTTAACGTGAGCAATGACAATTTATTTCTAGAAAATCAATTAAATCCGACATATTTTTATTTGTAATTTATTTTGTTTAAATGTTCTTCTTGATGGTATTTATCAATTCACCCACAGGAATTGAATGCGGCACAAGGCCTTTTTAATGTGGGTATGTCCGAGCCCGTAGGCCCAGCCAAAAATAAAACCCATCTAAACCCGTCCAAGCGGGCTAGTTCCGTCAACCTCCCCGAACGAAACCCCACCCTTCGGCGGAGCCTCGTCCGGGTTCCCCTCTGCAAGCAGAGAGTTCGACAGACACTCGACCCGGCAGCTCACAAAGCGCAGATACTACACTTTGATCCTAGCCACCGGGCCGAGCGGGTATTCTTTTTATTGATACACATATTCATGCAGAGGGTCTGTTTTTTTTATTTCTATCTATAAAAGGCAGTGTGTGTGTGTGTGTATGTGTGTGTGTGCGTGTGTGTGTGTGTGTGCGCGCGTGTGTGTGTATGTGTGTGTGTGTGTGTGTGTGTAATGAATGCAGGGCCGCAATTTTCGACGGATTGGCACCAAAATTTACATGCACATGCTCCAAGTTAGCAGGAAGGCCAACAACCACCTTGCATTTCCCAAATCCCATCGATAGTGGAAATAATCGATTTTTCATGCTTCTACAGCAGTTTTCATGTAGTTTGCGGCAATTTTCTACTGGCCAGATTGAGAGCCTATAGCTGGCTGCCATGAAAAAAAGGAAGATTCTATTGGCTAGCGTGAGAGCCAACAGCTAACTGACACGAATGTTAACTAGCATGCTAGCATGCAAAAATAATCGATAGCTGCATTCGTCACAAGTGGGAAAAAATTAAATCTGCATGACACTTTACTCCAATTGGCTCATTCGCTTGATTAAGCTCAACGTTGATTCTGATTCCGCAGGACTGGGTTGGTTGTGAAAACGTATTTGTTGTTAAAAATTTTTTTTCATTCGGTTTTTCCTGTTACGAGTCCTTTTTTTAAAGCTGATCGTTTTGTTTAGTTCTTTTTTCATAACAGATTTAATGTTTAGTATAGAGCTTAGAACAAATTCACAGTGTGAGATAGGCAAGAAGTAAGGCAACATCAACATCAGCACGGCAAAGGGCCTCCTTTTAAAGTCAAGGAAGGGCAAAAATATTTTTAAGTCAAGTGATAGCGATTCGTGTATGAGTCATATGATTTTTTGAATCAAGCACGGGCAACGCCGGGCCATGCTACTAATTATAT